TTGATTAGCTTAAAAATACAATGAGTTTCTTATACCCAAACCATTTAGAATATAAGTTAGGGTTGTCTAATCGCAGTAACTTTCGACTTCAGTTCGTTAGCTTCAATAAAACGTAGTCCTTAAAATCAATTACTTTTGATTTGAAAATTATTTAATAAAAACATTGGTTTGTTTACGATCAGCGATTGAAGTATGTGACAGATGACAGAAAAACTTTTTTCATGGCCTTTATGGCGGGTCGTCACAACCAATCAGAACGCAAAGAATACTCTGCGTTTCGATTTACGACAATTTTTTGTATGTTTAATATTTTATAGAGATAAACTTAAATGGAAGATAGCACAGCCGACACTCTCGTACAAACTAATCGGGTTAAGTATAAAAAACTAAACATCAGTTTGAAAAGTTATAAAGGTTTATAAAGAAACATTACTTTTTACATAAATTACATAACTGATAAAAATCAATAACTATCTATAACAATTCAAAACAACGATTGATTATTTTTAACGTGTATTAAATTGGAAATATGTAGCAATATTAAGCGTGAAGCGTGACAACATTCCTTTCGTCTGAAGCTCAGATTTGTCACGGTAACGCGCTCTATTTCCTTTGCTTTTCAATACATTGTAAAGATCAATCACATCCTTACAGTTGCGCTTACAGAGATATTGAGCAACATACGTCTTACGTAAAATTGGTTGAGAAAGTTACTAAACACGCTACAGCTAAAAGTATAAAGTATTTACCGTTCCAAAGCAAGACCTAAACTGTGGAAAAAGAGTTTACGCTTTTCTAGTAATTATTATTTATATAAAGGCTTCAACGCATAAAATTAGGAATTACTATATGGCAGATTTAACATGCGTGTGTAACTAATTGCGCAGAAATGTTATTATAATTAGCCTTTAAACACGATAATGACCTGGTATATGATGGGAATAATTTAAAGGATTTTTTTTCTTTTTCCGCAAATTTATTTTATACAGTCGAGTATATACATGATAAATTATCAAGAAATTCCAACGCCGAGTTATAGTCCTTTTCAAATATCTTGGTGGCCAAAAAGCATTGGCGCGCTGCGCAGCCCTCACATTGCATCTGGTTGCCTCACCTAAAATTGTGTTCTGACTTCCGCGAAGTTGGAGCCGTTAAAATATCCGAAAACTATTATACGTGTTGTCACTGTGCGTAATATAATTCAATTTATATTCTTTCTAGTTGGACGTAAAGAAGACGACTTCAAAGATTGTTCTGCACGCCCAGGAGTATACAGTAGCGGAGGATAAAGTGGTATTTCATGGAGCTGGTGACTTACCAGCCGTTACTTCTGTCAAACTCAATGATACATACAACTTCCTTACACTGACCTTGAACAAGGAACTTGTAGAAGGTTCTAGCTACCGCCTGCAGATACCCTTCTACGGCAATTTGAAGATCGGACTTGATGGTGTTTATATCAGTACATATGTAAATAAGAAGACTAAGCTTAGAGAGTGAGTTCTTACATCTGACTTTTTTCTTTTTAATGGTTAACAGTATTTTGTATCAGACGTCAACACGTACTTTGGGTCGCACTTGCTCGAAGATAGCGAAAGAATAAGCATCGAAAGATAGTAGCGATATTGGTAATTTCATTGCCATTTTGAAGGTCTATTCAACTATTCTCGCACAGTAGACCACCACATTGAAAGTTTCTTTCTCTCTTATAGAATGTTCTAGAAAGACTCTAAAATATATATCTAAATATGTATGCTTGCAGGTACTTGATAGCGACTCAATTCGAAGCGATATCAGCACGCAAAGGATTCCCGTGCTTCGACGAACCAATATACAAGGCGACGTTCCGACTGAACATCGGTCATCATGAGGAGTTCACTGCAGTCTCCAACATGCCCTTGTTTAATACTACTAAAGACAAGTGAGTTCCCAATTATAATCGTATATTCAAACAAGGATATCTGACTCAGTGAGAGGCGCTGCTATCGCGGTTGGTGTCAATAAAACCTACTTAGACATATAAAATGATATGACAGTTACAGTAAAAAAAGAGAATCTTAACTGATATATAAACACGGCTGAACACTCACGTATATACGTCCGGTGGCGGCACCGACTAGTTTCGAGCCCATCGGGGGCCCTTCATCAGGATGAGTGGCACTGGTATTATTTCGCGGACGCGGCCCTCAGCTCACTGCGCGCCTGCGCTCTTAGGGCGTGTCTTGAGGGGGCGGGGGCCGCGGGTTGCGCCGGCGTCGTCGACGATGTTGATACCAAAGCGTCGGTGGTGTTGTTGTTGAAGTTTCTGGTGGGCTCGAAACTAGTCGGTGCCGCCACCGGACGTATATACGTGAGTGTTCAGCCGTGTTTATATATCAGTTTAGTATAATGTCTCACGAAAGTTTGAATAATTTAAAAGAGAATCTTGTGACATTTTTTGTCGTCTGAGGGGCGCTAGTGTGCTGTCATAATTTAGTTTGACTACTGCCCGCCGATTCAGTTTTGTGGGTGTATACTTCAACGGTGGCAGAGTTCGGAAGAATAGTCCGCTGACTCCTTGCCACGACTACACACAAAACAAGCCTCAAATACGAAGTGTTTTCGTGTAAATATCCCTCGCATAACTTTTAACTTCCATCTTTACAGTGCCCTTGAAGATGTTTGGTCTTGGGAAACAATTGCAAAGAAATTTAGGTGAGTAGAAAATATTTGAAATATAAAGTTTTGTGACGATGCAAGATCACCACACATATTTGATGCTTTTATTAACACTTTAACTTTGCAATATATTTAGGAAGGACCGCGCTCATTTCGTATGGGACCAGTTTGAGAATTCGGTCCCGATGTCCACATACCTGGTCGCGTTCGTGGTGTCACAGTTTTCGTACGTGGAGAGTCCGCCAGAGCTCGCTAACACCAAGTTCAGGATCTGGGCTCGGAGCGATGCTATTGATCAGGTAACTAAGTTATAAATGTTTAATCGAATGGTAGTTTATACTTACTCTTCTGAATTATATTCATATTCAGTTTCAAAAGAAATAGTTTTAATCTGTGGCAAATGTCAAAGTGACATTAGATTTCTCCTGTCAGTGTCATTTTGACTTGTAGGCACACGTCATAGACAAAATTATTTTATGATTGTAAAATTGATACTGATTTTATATTTAACGGGGTAAAAGAAAAAATGCAAGTAAAACTTTTAATTGCAAATGTCAAAATTAAAAAGCTTAAATGGCAACGAAGCCCTTCGCCATTGGCTGAAAACTACCGTTACCATGGCAACCATACATATGTGCTGCTATTGGCTTGCAATTTTTATCCCTTTCTATCACGGCATGAATATATATAGCCTAAATTGTGTATTACATTTATTATGATCAGACCGCGTACGCCGCAAACCTGGGCCCCCGCGTGTTGTCGCACTTCGAGCGTTGGTTCAACGTGTCGTTCCCGCTGCCGAAGCAGGACATGATCGCCATCCCGGACTTCAGCGCCGGCGCCATGGAGAACTGGGGCCTCGTCACTTACAGGGAGACTGCGCTGCTCTACGACAACCAGCAGTCCTCCTTCCTCAACAAGGAGAGGGTCGCTGAGGTGAGCTGCTGGGACCCTGTCTGTTTATTGTGGAACTGACTTAAGCTGAAATGCGTAGTTATGAGCTCGAATTATACTGAGCAAATGCTTAGCAAAGTCAGCCACCAAAACGATAACTGTTGTACTGAATACTTACACAAATTTGCCGTATAATTTACTAACAAAAAAATGGAAAACATGTTTTTTCATTTCAAGTTTCAAAATTTATAAGTTTAAATTTTATTATTTTTTTATTTATGATAAAATATCTTATAGCAGGAAAAAAAAATGAAACTTATTTTGTGGTACCTTATTTAATGATTAAACACGGGCGGGTTTTAACATTTCTGGCACCCTGGTGTCGATTTTTGCGGGGGTCTTTTATTGGTGTAAAGAGAAATCGTCCAAAGATAGGGTTTCTTAGGGGTCTCATCAGGCGCTCGTTTATGTCCGGCGCCCTTAGCGGTTGCCCTACCTAACGCCGCTACTGATAAAACTTATCCAGATCGAAGTAACGAGGAAGAGTGTCTGCAGGTGATAGCTCACGAGCTGGCGCACCAGTGGTTCGGCAACCTGGTGACGATGAAGTGGTGGTCGGACCTGTGGCTGAACGAGGGGTTCGCGACGTACGCGGCGTCGGTGGGCGTGGCGGCGGTGGAGCCCGGCTGGCGCGCAGACCGCAGCTACGCCCTCGACAACATCCTCTCCGTGCTCAGCCTGGACGCGCTCGAGTCCTCGCACCCGGTGCCTGCTGCTGCCTCTACTGCACACTGCACACTGCACAATACCTTACAACCCCAATATCTATCCAATATCTGATCCTATACTTTGAGACAAAAATTATACTTTAATTGCCTTTTAATTTAGTTTTTCGACGTTAACATTTATTGTAAAGTTCTCGTAGTTTGAAGTGAACAGAGACTCCTAAACTTATTTTGTAATTTCCCTTTCAAACTGTTACTGGTTTCGATGAACCTCTTGCTCTTAAATTACAATAAGATGTAAAGTTTCAACTTTATTTCCCGCCATACTTCACATTCGTTATAACAATGTTTTTAGTTTTAAATAATTTATTATAAAATATGCAGGTATCAGTACCGATTGACAACCCGAAGCGTATATCAGAGATCTTCGACGAGATCTCGTACCGCAAAGGCTCCACCATCATCCGCATGATGACCATGTTCCTCGGAGAACACGTCTTCAGGGAGGCCATCAATAAGTAAGTACAGAACTTTATCTGCCGGATTCTTTATCGATAATTGTTCCGGTTTTCCTTATTTTTCATTGATTCTTTTGGTAATATCAGCTCATTTATTTCCCCATTCTCAAGGCCCGAGTTTACTAAGTTAAAAGTGTCGGTGTAACAGGCCACGCTTGTTCAGAGCTGATTGGTTTACTTCGAACTTCTTTCACTTTAAGAAGCAGAAGAACGGCGTGAAGTGAAAAAATTTCAGCATCTCATCTGATGACCGTGTTTCAGTCCGGTATAAAATTTTTATTTGGTCTTTGACAGTGCGGAAGATCTCTTTCTGTCATTTTTCCTCTCTCACTTCATCTTAAGGGTCTTTGGTGATCGATTTTTTTTCTTCGTCTTT